ATAGCATGTAAACTAAAGACATCTCAAAGCTCTAAAATAAGTTTCTAAAAGACTAAGTTGCTGTGAGAAAAACTTTCAGAATGCCACAGGAAAATAAACTATCACTCCAGAAATAAACATGTTATATGAGTAAAAAATGAAGTATTGCCCTTGGGCTAATGTTAGAAATAGCCTGTTATTATTACTTCTTCATGGAACTGAAAATGTTCTGAAACAAGTGTTGGAAATTTCCACCAGAATAAGGCAAGACTGTTGATCAAATGTTCGCCAAGCTACTAGTAGGTGCCATGTACCGTCAGGCGCGGATCCAGAGACCAGTAAGAAAGACTTCTGGCTCTCAAAGTATTCCGTGGGGATACAGGTGCAGTGGCAGACCATGCGAAGTACAAGAACAGTGAGGTTTAGGGGTAACAGAAGAGTGAGGAATGGCCCCTGATCCAGCCAGTGGGGTAGAGCGGATACCGGAGCAAGAGGAGCGGTTAGCCAGCCAAAGGTCTGCCATGCCAGGAAGAGCGAAGTGGTGGGTCCACGTGCCGAGACAAGGAATGCGCGGCATGGTACGTGGGGCTCCCGAGAAGGGCAGGGCCGAAGAGAGGAGTGGAGGCTGGGAGTGAACACGGGTAAGGCAGGAGAGGTGGGCAGGTCCAGATCATTAAGAAATTCAAACCAAGGAAGGGTTTTGAGCAGGGAAGTGATGTGCTCAGAAGGTAATTTAATTAAAGCTCTCTGGGGGCAGTAGGGAGCTTGGATTAGAGCCACATGGCCCTTGTTTCAGTTCCAGGCCTGAGGGCTTGTCAACTGCGTGAACTTTGGCCAACTATGAGACCTTTCCTCTTATTATACAATGTGCTATTTAAAACATGTACCCAACGGGTTAGCAGCTGGCATGGTGGTTAAGGATTCCCACGTGACCGACTGTGGTTTGAGTCCTAGATCTGGTAGCTTGCTGTCTCACTTTCCCTTGGGTAAGTGCATACCCCGTGGCAAATTTAAATAATAATAATAAATAAAATTAAAATGTATCCAGGGTCAGTCCATGGAGTGGTGGTTAAAGTGGCTAGATTTGACATGGTCAACTGTGCAATTTGAATCCTGCACCCAGGGGCTTGAGAAACACAGCAGGCACGTGTGCACATGTGCCCAAAATCCAGAAAGGAGGGAGAAATGGTGGAGAAGGGATGTGGCGTGACCTCCTCCATGGGGGATGCTAGCTCACTTTCTCCTTTTCTCTCTCTGTCTCTCTCTGGCAAGAGCATGCACTCTCTGGCAAAAATTAAAAATTAAAAATGGTATACACTGTGGAATGGATAAATCAAACTAATGGGCAGACACAGTACCTTACATATTTATTCAAGGTGAGAAAGAAGATACAAAACCTTCTAAGTCTCATCAATTATAACATGGGAAGTGAATAGCCTAATGAATACAAAGCACTGGGACACAGGAAATAATAAATGGTGGCACTTAGTAGTAGTTTGAGAAGGCCCATCTGGAGTCCAGATGAGACATACCAAAAAGGGATAAAACAACAAAACAATCTGAGGAATACTTAGGAACGGGACAGACCGAACTGTGTGGCCACAGGGGTGGGGATAAAAGAGAAGGTGGTGGCACTGGTGAGCTCTGTGTCTGGGACAGTGACTGAATGGCTAGTGATGGAATGGCTGGTGGCTGGTGGCCCTGACAAAGAGAATGCGGGAGGCTGGAAAAACTCTGGGAGTCTGGGTCACACTGAGGAGGCCTGTGTGCATCCAGGAGTGGGTATCCAGAGGGCCAGGTGTGGCTAGGAGCGGGAGCAGTGGGTGTCAATAGTATCTTGGACCACGAAGGGAAGAGAGCAGCCACAGGGTGTGGTCAGGGAGCAGGAAGAGCTACGACAGAACCCTGGGACACCCACAGCCTAGGGGCGAGGAAAGAGACGCACTTGAAGAAGGAAGAGTGCCCAGAGGGCAGGAAAAGCCAGGAGGGCTCAGTATAATGGCAGCCGAAGGAGCAGGAGCTCGTCAGTGCCCAGCGTAGCTGAGAAGTCCCGTAAGTTCCAACGTGTCTCAGAATTCAGCAGAAACTGTTGTTCATTTTAGACCAGAGGGTGATTTTCATAGGACAAGCGAGACAGCAGCCTGACTGCTCAGTTAAGGTAGAAATGGGAGTGAGGAAGCGGAAAGAGTCTATCGTAAACCTGGCAAAAGGGAGGGAGGGGAATGATGCGGCAGAGAGGGGGATGTAGGGTCAAGGGTTAAGTTAAAATAATTTTTAAAGATGAGTATTTTGTGAGCAGAGAAGGTAGATGGCAGAGGACGAAGAATCAGGAGAGAGAGAGAGAAACAAAAGCAGATCAAGGTCTTTAACGAAGTAAGGTGGGTTTCTAAGTACCTACTGTGTGTCAGGCACACACTGGGTCCCGGGGATGCAGAGAGGAACAGAAAGGAATCTGCCTCAAGGGGCTCACAGCCTGAGGGGACAGGCAACCTGCCACTGAGTCCTCTGAGCAGCGCGTGACCGGTGCGTTATGGCAGAGGAGCTGAGGTGGGCTGGCTACCTGACCGTGGGCGTCCTGCCAACACAGCCTGGCATCTCATGTCAGTAACTCTTTTAGGTGTGAATAAACAAATACGATTTGTCAGAAACCTTATTTCCAGAGACAGAAATATTATAAAGCAGTATAAGCATATATTCTAAGACATATAAAGGGATGTGGAGTATTAAAATGTAATGAATAGTAATGAAAATAATGACACAAATGTTTAGTGCTGTGGTCTGAATGTTTGTGTCCTCCGCTAAACCCTGTGCTGAAATCTCCAACACAACTGCATTAAGCGTAGGTCTTTTGGAGGTGATCAGATCACAAGAGTTCTCATGACAATAATGGGTACCCACACAAAAGAGGCCCGAGGGAGCTCGTTTTCCCCTCCTGTCAGGTGAGGACAAGCAAGAAGGTGTCACCAGTGAGAAACAGGCCCTCACCAGACACCCAATCTGCTGGCACCTTCAGCCTCCAGAACTGTGAGAAATATTTACTGTTTACAAGCCAACCTGTCTATGATGGTAGCCTGAAAGGCCTAAGACACTTGAGAAATAATACCTCTTAGAGCTCTACCCAGAGGGAGCTGAAGGGGACAGAGCGGGGAGAGCGGGGCACAGGGTTGAATCGTGGGGAGAAGGACTGAGTGGTGTTGGAACTCTGGCCACATGGATCCCACAGTCTGCTTGCTAATGCTTAAAATGTATTTAAACATTACAGATAAAAGACTGAAAAGGAAACGTATGACTGCTCAAAAGCTACAACCCATCTATCGTGAAATAAAATCAGTCAGCAGGCTCTGGAATCAGACTCATCTGGCTCCCAATGAGGTCCCACCTTCCCGAGCTGTGCGGCCCCTTTCTAATCTAGTATTCAAAGGGTCCGATGCAATGTTTCCTAGGCTTCTGCGGGCCACAGACTCCTCTGAGAATCTAATGAAAGCTGTGAGTTCTCCTCCCACTGCCAAAATAAACAGAAACATGCATGAAAACCACGTGCATCATTTGAGGGGTCCCTGAACTCCACCCACGGATGCCAGGTAAGGAGTGGGAAAAGGCAGATGTGCAATGAAGACTCGTCCTCCTTACAAAGTAACGGAGTCAGGTGTCACAGCAACCTCTGCAGGACCCACAATGGACAGTTTGTGGCGTCTCATCCCCAAATGCCCCAGGGCCAGGCCCTGAACTGTAGGGCGTACCCATTAACTGTGCACTAAGCAGGACTTAACGGTCTGGATCCATAGCTCTCCAGTGTTCGGACCTCCGGTGCTTCTGAACAAACATCATCTTCAAATCCTCCTTTGAAACACAACCCCGTAATGTACAGCAACCACTATGGGCTGCTCTATGGGAGGGGCGTTGACTTCCCCAAGCTGATTTTTATTTAACCAGAGAGGTCTAGCCACTTCAGACTAGAAATAATGCAAAATCTGATGATTCTCCCCTCTCCACAAAAAGGAAAAGAAAACACATTGTATCTACTCTGAAGAGAAATCCCTTTCATGTGTATAATCCTTGATACTGAGTCTCAATTCTTCTCACATACATACAGTACTCACTGGGAGATAGGCAATATCTGCAGTGCTTCCATTTTAAAGATAAGGACTGAGAATACACCATTTAAGTGATTACAGAGACAGCTTTCCAGCACGGCCCGCATATTTTTATAAATGTGCTGGTGGTACCCTTGTACTGAGACGGTAGAAGACACCTCTATTAAACTGACAGGGAAGTGAGCTGTGGCATTTAATGTTCGATGATAACACCTAAATAGTAACTATGATTTTCAAAACCAAATGGCATTCCAATATGAGAAGTCTTTTTTCTTTTATTTTTGGAGAGGTTTTTTGTTATAGGGCACATGTGCTCACTAGAGAGACAGAGAGACAAAAAGCGAGAAATCACCCTCCCCCCAAGGGGGGATGGCCACACTGCAATCCCTTCTCCTCTATTCTCCCCTTGGGATCTTGGGCACGCATGCACATGCGCCTGGTGTGAGTTTAAGCCACTGGGTCCGGGACCCGAACCATGGTCGACTACACGGGAGTCCAGTGACATAGCCATTACGCCAACTGCTGGTCCCAGCAATTTTTTTTTTTTTTTTTAATCTGCTATAAGTGTGTGTGCTCACCAGAGACACAGAAAGGGAAAGAAGAGTGAGAAAGCTCCTCCTCAAGGTGGATGTCCACACCACAATCACTTCTTCTCCATTCTCCACTTGGGATTTTGAGCACACATGCACATGTGCCCGGTATGTTTTTCAGGCTGCTGGATTTGAGACCTGAACTGTGTAGTCGGCCATCTGGAATCCAGCCATCTCAACCAGCATGCCACCAGTTGACCCACAATTTTATACATAGTGATTAAATGCTTTCATTTTGTCAATATTTAGTGAGAATCAAATCAAGCCTATCATCTACAATTTAAGAAAAAAAAGCAGAATCCACTGTACATAGTAGTGGGGGAAATTCCATACTTACCTATAGCACAATGTAAAACCTAAGGGGGAAAAAGAAGAAAAAAGAGAATTAGTAAGAATTCTAGTCTTTCAGTAAGAACAGAGAAGTAGTGTATGCCAGAAGTATTGAATTTGAAAAGTGAACATTCCATTTTTAAACTTGGCTACAGGCTATTGAATAAAAATGTAAATTCTTGCTTAGTTTTTTGTTTGTTTGTTCATTCATTTTTGGCTCTGTGTATCTTGGGAAGATTTCCTGAGGGAGGTTATCAGATGTCAAGGCCTCTTCTGTAACACTCACTTGTAGGAGCAGTCAGTGCACCACCTCTCCCATGGCCCATTCTCTACAGACCAGAGCTGTCACTGACTATGGCCCGCAAGGTCAGAAGAAGCATTGTTGGCTCCTCTTACTTGGCAGGACTTTCAATGCAGACATTCATCCCTCAAAGCTCCACCTTCTGTCCCATCTAGCCTCACTGGATGATCTCACTGCAGGGTGTTCCGGGTCCAACCTCTCGCCTTGCCTCTTTCAGCTCCAGGCCCACACTCTAAACTGCCTTGTGGAGTCTCTATCTATGCCTAGCCTCCATGGAAACATGCCTTTTCCTTCCTTCATACCTCCTATGCCTCTGATGACTGACCTCCCAGTCTCTCTGGTTCACCCTGAAGTCCAGCTTGTTTCCAAGTCCTGATACTGCTCCTAGGATCTGTCTTCCTCACTTTCATTTTGAATGCCTTGAGTTGGACTGTCCTCTTCATTCCACCACTGTGGCCATCCAAGTGGCTAGTCAGGTACATCTTAATCCCCTTCTAATGCATCTTTTATATTAATAGCACTCTGTTAGCCTTGGTACAAGCCACCTACAAGATTGATTTAATGGCTAAAACTTTTCTAGGTGATAAGACCTAACAGCTACTATGGAGCATCGTAGAATGTTCATGTTTCTCTAGCGGTCACTGTATTGATCCTAATGATAATCATGACAGACAGGCGGACATATCTCTGTACTTGCAGATGAGCAAACCAAGGCCAGACAAGCTACACAACCTGCCCAAGAGGATGATGGCCAGAATCAATCTATCTGCTTTTTCTTTCATTGTAGAGAGAGGCCAAAACTTGACAAGACTCAGCTTATCTAAAACATGCACAGTTTATGTGCTCAAAAACTGTTATTTCTCAGTTCTTTTTTTTTCCTTCATTTTTTGAGGGGGAGAAGAGGGAGGCTTGGATGAAAAAAAACAAGCTGCACAAATTTGCAACTGATAAGAGAACAAAAGAATTATCATATCACAAATCTTATAATCTCTTTAGGAAAAAATACTGCTAAGGACCTCAAAGTGAGTGAATATTACAAGATAAGCCGAACAGATGACAGTGCCCAGACAGATAACCTATTCTATCCACACATGTGCCACACACCCAGGCTGCTGATTCATAGGCCACTGCGAGAAGGGACAGGTAGCAATTAAGGGCCATCACATTTTCTTCGCATAATCGGACAGTGAGTCTCAGTTCTATGAAACCCAAACTTTCCTTTTTTTTTTTCTTTTTTTGAGAGGTTTTTGCTATAGGGCGTGTGCGCTCGCCAGACAGACAGAGAGAGACAGAGAGACAGAAAGCAGGAAATCACCCCCCAGGGGGGATGGCCACGCCGCAATCCCTTCTCCTCCATTCTCCTCTCAGGATCTTGGGCACGCACGCACACGCGCCCGGGGTGAGTTTAAGCCACCGGGTCCGGGACTCGAACTACGGTCGACTACGTGGGAGTCCAGCGACATAGCCATTACACTAACTGCTGGTCCCCAAACTTTCCTTTTTAATAACATGCATTTAATGATGCCTCCTCGACCAGCCTGAGATGAAATTTACAGATGATTTGGCCTACTTACATAAAATGAAGTAAAACAACAACTAGAAAAAAAACCCTGATATATAAAAAAGAAAGTGATTTATTTAAAAATATATGTATTTGATATGTAAATGTTTGGGAACACAATGAAGTAGTCAATTATATATAATAACTTACAACAAATAAGTTTAAAATAAGAAAGTCAGATACCATTCTGGGTGAATACAGGGAAATAAAAGGGCAGAGGTACAGACCAGCAATAGAAAAAAAAAGGTATTCCGTAACAATGGAAATGAAGAAGCAATCTTATCTAGAGTTGGAATCCTGTTCAGATATACAAGGGGACTGCAAAAAGTTTGTGAAAAAAAAAAAGGACTTAAAGTACAAGTTGGTTTTAGAACAAAAAATTTTGAAATCTATGCATAGTTTTCCATGAAACGCATTTCCTGTGAATTTTCTGATGACTTCTGATATGGTCAGTTTCTAGTCTGTAACAAGGTCGTGGAAACCATATTTTTTAAATGGTGCCATAGAAATAGAAGGTGGGTTGGACAAATAAATAAATAAATAAATAAACAAACAAACAAAAAACAGTAATGCAAAAGGCAATAAAGCAGTTGCATAATAGACTGGGGATCCTTTTAGGATAAAACAAAAAGCTATAGCCATCCCAAAATAAGATTTTCATTTCACAACCTAGAAATTTTGTTATTCCACACACTCATATACATAGAAGCAATAATATGAAGGATTACTAAAGTAATCTATATCAAAGAAAACCATTAAGACCCCTGTATTTCATGTTCCTCTATTAATTTTTTGTTGTTGTTGTTTGTTTTTTGTCATAGGGTGGTTGTGCTTGCCAAAGAGAGACAGAGAGAAGGAAAGTGGTAAATCACCTTCTAGAATGGCTGGCCACACCACAATCCCTTCTACTCCATTCTCCTCTTAGGATTCTGGGCATGCATGTACAAGCACCTATCATGATTTTCAAGCCATCGGATCCTGGACTCGAACTGAGGTCGGCAATATGGGAGTCCAGTGCCTTAATCACCACAACACATCTCTACCAATTTAATCATTGAAATCTGGACAGGAATTTCAAATCTAGTGTTTCATATTTTCAATCAGTTTCATTGTACTTGCAGTAATAACACTACTGTACTGAGATCGTTTTCAACCAAATATGCAAAGTAGAAATGCTATAAAATATACGGAACAAAATGTGCAGAACAAATAAATCACTTAATTACTCTGAGACAATACCTTAATTTTACTTAAAGTTTCCCTGTTCATGCCAATGACAGTAATGGGCAGAATTCTTAAAATGACCCCCTAAATTACTGTTCTTCAGCTGTTGAAACACTAACCTATGCTCTGCACTGTGCCTTAGGGATTTTACAAATGTAATTAAAGTCTGAAGTCAACTAATTATAACATACAGAGATTATATGGGTGAACCTGACCAACTACACAAGTCCTTTAATGGCAGAATTTTCTCTGGCGGGTGGCAGTAGAGGAAGTTGAAGCTACTCAAAGGACGAGAAGAGATCTATCTGTGGTTATGCACATGAAAAGATGCCACTGTGAGATGCTGGAGTGCAGTGGAAAAGCCCAGGGTTCAGATCTCACGTCCACCTGAATACGTAGGTGTGCCCTTGGGCTTGTCTACCAATCTGGCTGGCTGGAAGGCTGTGGGGAGGATCATGGAGTGGCCAAGACCCTCGCAGAATCCCTGTGTCTTTCTCTTTCATAATAGAAAGAAATAAACTTAGCCTCTCCACAAAAAAAATAAAAAATAAAAACTTCCAAAGAAAGAACAAGAAGGGTTCAACATGCGGCTGCTTGCTTTGAAGATGATGGGGCTGCCTGCAAGGACTGGAGAGCAGCCTCTCAGAGCTGGGAATGACCTGCTGCTGACAGCTATTAGGGAAGTGCAGCCCTCACACCTACAACTATAAGGAACTAAACTGCCAAGGACCTGAAGTGCCTGGAATAGCCTCCAGATAGCTCAGCCCCCTAACTGACATCTAGATTTCAGCCCTGTGAGACCCCACGCAGAGAACCTCATCGGTCCCAGCTTCTAACCTACATCATTGTGAGCTAATGAACAATTTAGCAGCGAAATTTGTGGTATTTTGCTATGCAGCAAAATCTAAGACAATCGTCTAACTTAATAAGCTTGCTTAATTTCTCATGATGACTTTTTAGTGCTAATATGGGCCAAAAAAAAATATTTAAAAGGCTGAGGCAGGAGGATTGTGAACTTGAGGCCAGCCTAAGCAACATAGTGACAAAACAAAACAAACAAACAAAAATTTAAAAAGCTAAAAATAACCCCAAACTCTAAAAGCTATCAATTTATATTTGCAGAGGGGTTAGCTGGGAGGGAGGGGGGCAGAGAGGATACAGAACAGGTCTTCACCGAGTTGGACTGTCCCATAGGTTGCAGGACATCCAGCCTGCAGCTCCCCTGGCATTGTGGCACTCAGAATACCCTCGCAATTTTCCAAAACGCACTGTACAGAGGTGACACTGCTCTTAATGAGATCCACTGAGAATCACTGGACTAGGATAAGCACACCTCACTGGAAAAAACTAAGAAGACTTGCCATACTCAAAATCTCCTGAGGCCCGCCGTAGTGGTGCCGCAGTAACACAATGCTTTGCAATGCTGAGGCCAAAGAGGAAGGTCACCGGTTCCCTTTCCAATGTCTCCCTGTATACTCAGAGCATGTGTGCGTGATCCTGGCAGCTAGGGCTGGGGGTGATAGTGGTTTGAATATTCTGTTGGGGGTGTTTGTCACTGTCTGTTTCTTTTTCTCAAGGAAGAAACTACATAAGTAAACTTAGAAAAATCACTCCTGAAAATATGTGTCAGAAACTCCACACTCCTCATGAGCCCTCTCCATTCCACTTACTGGCAATAAACTGATTTTAGTTTTAAAATTCAACATCGATGTCAAATGCCATTTTGCAATTAAAAAATAGGGTATTTGGAAGCAACTTTCTAAAAAGGTTTCTAAGATTTGAACTGAGGAAATTATTTTTGTAAGTTATCAACAAATCTGTTTAATTTCATTATTTTTAAGAATTACTTATTTAATTTTATTTATTATTAAAAATTTGGCTAGAGAGAGTGAGAGAAGGAAAATGAAAAAGCAAGCCACTGGATTGGGGACTTGAGCTGT